ACCCTAACATAAATCTTAATTGGTTTACGGGTCAGGTGTACCAAAGAGGGACCACGAAAGACTCAAAGCAGAGGATAAGTCACAGCCCCCAGGAGCCTTGTCGATACCAGCATCTGTTTCTGTTTAGAAATTCTTGGCCCCTTGAGTTTAGGTGATGTACTAGAAATTCACTTTAGAATTTCCTGGAACATAGTATTTTATTTATCTATACTTTCTATTAGTAGGACTGAGCTAGGTCTCTTAATCACTTCCTAAATTGTTGGAGGAATGCTCTCTGTAAATACCTATCAATAATAAATAGTGTCAACAATTATTCAGGAAACCTTAAGAGTTCTCTAAGAGATCATAGGTGCTCCCATCCAACTATAGGCTGCCAAGGCCAACAATCCAATAAACAAGCTTCATGTTTGGTAGAACTCTTTCCTCTCAACCGGTCTGTGGCCTGATACAAAGTAGAGAAGATAACATACTTGAAATCGATCATATTTACTAGTATGAACTACTTTTTACACAGTCAAATTCTGGAACACTTGAGAGCTAGAAGTATCTACCCTTTATAGAAACAAATATTAGTTTAAAAACATCAGGAGGTATCAACTAAACAAGTCAGGACATTTATCACAAAACAAGCAGTTACTTGTTTACCAGTTACCACCTTGTATAATCCTCAACTTTTCCCAAGCGATAGAACCCATTGGAACTGCTCCTTCAGATAAAAGCATTTTCCAGACTGATTCAGCAGCAGCAGGTGCCATCAACATTGAGAAACCTTCTGCAGAAAGGAGATTTCCCACCCCAACTGTTATCGGCATACCATTTACCTAATAATTGAACCGAAGTAGTAGTTTTATTTCAAGATCAAGAAAACTAGATATGATAGATAATCCGTTACTTTTGTAATTTTACCACATTGCATTTTCTATTTATTCATTTCTCTATTACTCCACAAGAGCAGAAGACTAGAATTACATTTATATGCAGACAGGTAAACATTTAACAAATGTTTTAGTCCCAAGCTCCAGAATTATATTAAAGAATAAGTATATAGTAAAATGTTTTTATGTTAGAAAGAGACTGGATAGCCAAACAGATGACCAGCAGTGTCCCTCACAAAGCACATTTATGTTTAGCATGATACAAGAAATTTCTTCTTTCTCTAATATATGTAGTCCTTCGATTAGATAGGGCAGGTAAGTTGAAACATTCAGATTTCAATTTACATAAACTCTAATGTTTCATATATGAGTAAACTTGAA